ATGAGAGGAAGACAGTGAAGATGCAAGGAGCACTGAAGAGGATGAGTTTAAAGACCAGCCAAAGCAGTGCACAAGAGAGGTGAAGAAGAGTGCAGGCAGAGTGGAGTGGGTGAAGATAAGTGATTTTACACAGAAGGATAGCAGTAAGAGTGAAAGCAAAGGTTACAAGATGGGAGTGGGACCTGCTGTGATGTATGATTTGTAGACAGTGGTACTGATGAAAAACAAGAGGCCTAGTTGAAGATGTTCAGGTTTCACTGGGAGTGAGCAGGATGGACAGAATTAGAAGTACATCAGAGGGACACGACCAGCTGTGGGGTTTGGAGACAAACAGAGACAAAGCTGAAATGATTTGGACATGTGCAGAGGAGGGACAGTGGACATACTGGTCAAGAAGTGGAGCAGCACATGCAGAGGGTTGGTGTGGCGATAGGGACAGAGGAGACAGAAACAGATGATCCGAAGATGATGACGATCCAAACCAGTGCTGCAGGGAGAGAAAACAAGCAGACAGGCCATCACTTCTCAGAAATCATTTTGTGTCTGTTCAACTGTTTGAATCCTCACTTTTACTTCAGCAGACTGTTAAATAAAAAAAACTTAAAGACGTAACTTAAAGACAGTGCGAGATGTGACGCAATGAATTCCTCAACGTTTAAAGGAAACTCAAGGTAAAATCATGTCTCAGCCAATCAGAAGGAAGCATCGTATTACCGCCCTCCTCCTCTCCCCCCTGTTCCTCCCTCTGTGTCTCCCACACCTCAGCTGTCTAACCCCGAAGTCTCCGTTAAAGGATGTAACCGACAGACACTGGGGGGGACCAGAAGCTCCTCGGTGCCACCGGACAAACCGAAACATCGCGGAGGGTTTTTATCATGGACAAAAGCAGCAGTAACACACCGACTTAGATCAACCACAGTAAGGTTAGTGGACGCAGTAGTTCGAAAACTTTCAGGAAACGCAGGACATGTTAAAATGTTTGCAGACACGGGTGACGGGAGTTTTCCTCCCGTGCTGCAGAGGAACAGCGACACATGCGCTAAAGTCTGTTTATTCTGCGCACTTTGTTTACACGGGGCGCCTTTTCGCTTCCTTCTGCAGCGGCATCGCTAAAATAAGCTGATTTTATCACAGCAGAAGCATTTTGTAAAGTTCACATGAGGCTGAGCTGCTTTTCCATCATGAACTGAAAGCATAAAGCTGCTGGTAAAAGTAAACACATGTTCATGGCTGTAAATCAAACTGCGACTTCAAAGCTTTGGATTTTTCTTTCAAATATGATAAAACCCAGACGTAAAAGTTTTACTTTAGGGACTGTAGAAACCATCACACTCTTCTTTGTCGTAAAAAACACAAGATCCCCTCAGGGTGCTTTACTTTTTGGACCTTTCCACTCTTTCTTCTACTCTGACCCTTTGATGCCCCTGTGAGGCCAAAACAAATTCTGAAATATAGTAAATCTCTTTGTCCCCAGTGCCAGGCTAGCAGGGTTTAAACGTCTCAATTTGATAATTAAAAAAAGCTTTCTGACCAAGGCCAGATGATTTAATGGGTGTTGTGGTAAGCGGCAAGTTTTAATACAAAGAATAATTTTATTTCTACGGCACTTTGGAAAACACAGAGCTAGAAAGAGCTTCACAGTGTAAATAAAAACCTGGTTTAAAACAATTAACAGACGTGATAGGCTGAGGAAGGTTGTTCCAGGGTTTGGGGACTACGCTACAAACTCAATGTGATCACCTCTGGTTTTAAAATCAGAGCCTGGGACAGTAATGAGACCATGATTGGCTGATTGAAGAGGTTGGTTGCAGCAATTGGGTCTTTATATGTTAATATGTGTATATATGTTATATATATATAATATATGTTAATAACAGGAATTTAAAGATTATTCTGAATTTCAGTGAATGCCAGTGAAGAGATCCATAAATAAATGGGATATGTGAGCACTGCTAGTTTTCTTATCAGCCGTGTTGCTGCTCTCTGCACTAATGGGAGGCTATGGAGGACTGAGAGATACACGTGAAGAGAGAATTACAATAATCAAGGCCAGAGAAAAGTTCCAGATGATTAAATAGGAAAGGAACTGATTGAAAGGTTTGATTATTTGCAGTATCTCTGACATGAGGGAAACAAGGGTGAGCTGAGAGATGTGAGATTCAAAATTCAGATGCTGCTCAAAGATGATGCAGAGGTTCTGAGTAGATGATTTGATGGTGCTGGCAAGAGCTACTGTACTGACCTCCTACGGAAAAGTGTCTGTGCCAAACATAAAATCCTCAGTTTTACTATAAATGAGATGAAGGAAA